GCCGAATTATCCATAAGTCTATCATATGATTGAATTCGTTTCTGGCCAAACGCAGCTTTTCGGGAGCTAGTCGACGCGCTTTCGAGAATACAAGTGATTCTGTAGTCGTGATGCGGTGTGTAACATTGTTGATTACACATAACAATTGAGGTTGCGTTTGGTATATTTCGCTGTATTTATCGAGTATCTGTAGTGGCATTGGACAATAGCCACACAATGCACAAAGCTGGGAACACGAGACTACTCAGAAAATAGATATTCAACATTTAACGCGGAGAAATACCCAACAATGGAGAAGGCGCGAACAATGAATTGAATGGACTGGAGTTGATCGGATGGCATGGCTCGGCCATGCAGGCGTGGTCCATCTGAATGTTATCTTATATCTTCTATTCGTATTAAATATATTGTTCCTTCTCTAGCTTAACGTTGTTCTACATCATGTATTGGTAATTGATACGATACAGTGAGTTGGCGTAGTCGATGGTGTGACTTCCACGTAAGATCTTATAGATTAGGCAGTTATATCATGACAAATCTACAAATTTAGGATTAGGTCTATTATTAGAGCAGCACTAATATCATAGTAGACCATAGTTCTACATATCCACCACTGCGGAGACCTGTGCACCTGGGTATGCTACACCGTGATCGGAGAAGTCGGCTTCTAAGTAGCAGAACCAGGCTTTGATATTGTCGGATAAAAATGGCATCAGCTGAAATGAGGGTGTCGAAATAGCCTTGATCTTAAATAATTTAGGAGTCTGTTCGTCTATGATGAATGTAAAGTGTAGCAATGAACTTGAAAGCAGTATCCAAAAATTCCAAAATATGTGTCACAATATGTAAAAACTAAGTAAAAATATGATATATAAAGTTTAATAGAGGAACAGACTCATAGTCTACGAATAGGTAAACCAGATCACTTCGTGCTCACTACTAAACATTCCACAAGTATCTGGAGTTTGACAACACCTTAACCAGTAAAAACTTTTATGATTGGAACGTGCAGTCAATTCAGAAATCAGAAACGAGAAGACTTGAAGATATGCTTTACATAATATCGATTTATCGATGGGTATTTTAATCTAAGCTGGCTAGCGTTGTAGTAGATGTGGGGAACGGCGTACCCACTCGTGATTTGGTGTGGATTCATGATTGTGCACCTTCAGCTAGGTGAATCTGTAGGGTCAGTGATATTCCACTAAGCCCTAGCCAAATCATCCGGCAGTTGGGTCATTGATTATCGAGCAAATCATGGATCCTCGTCAAGATCAAGGAAAACCAACGCTCATCAGTTAATCGTATGCCGTGGACTGAACCATGCGGCAGTGGTCTTAGTTTCATTTGAATCTACTTCAACTAATATATTTCTGTAATAACGTCCTCTGTGTTGTACAGTCTTCAAGGCATCTGTTTGACCTTGATACGTCAATGGGGTAGTCCACGTAAGGTGCTGACCTCGAGGTATGACTTCGACGTTAGCTAGTTTGTCACACGTCTAACTCGAGTAGGCCTCCAATCATTTCGACATAGATAATCTACGTTGGTGATCTACAAATGCACTGAAGCTAATGCGGTCAGCAAGGTTATTGATTTTGGGGATTCATTTAAGACAACTGTCATATTGAAAATTGCCAAATGATTGCTGTCAAGTTGACAGCTACGTTTGCTCGTAACCTTCAAGACGTTTTTGAAATTTCATAAAAGCTGAAATCATTCAGTTCAGAGCCACAATAAGATAGAGGGTTTTCTGAACCAAATAAGTTTTTGGAAGCTAACTGGGAATTCGAATTGAATAAATTTCACATGTTTTCATTACAATCCTCAGGTAAACAAGAACCTTTGCGTTCACTAATATAGTAAATGTGGTTACTCCTCGACATATATCTACGTACACCCCAGTAAAATGACTAAGATCAATAACAACATAATCATGATTATCCAGCATTTGGGACTGGGTACTTCCCAAATTAAATTTGCAATATCAGATTGAAATATCATAGGTTTATAGAGGTCACTTATCTTTGAGGACATATGACAGGTATTAGATGTGACTGGTTAGTCTGAGACTAATTTGTATTGGCCCTTTAGAGGCTAGAACACAATCGCTGGCGTTTTAAATGAACTTATGGTATGGTCAGTATGGGTAGGTAATGATAGCCCGTCACAAAGTAAACTATAACATATGATATAAACTTCAGGAAGAGATTATTTGAAACTACAACTTATGAAGGACCTTTAAATTATGCTAAAGTTTCCTGAAAAAGTACTGCTTTAGAGGGATTTTGTAAATAAACTATCGGTTATAATGGAACGAAGACTGATGCAATTGGATGCAAACCAGAAGATAGGACTGAAGATAACGATTTTATTATCTACTGGCAAATCCGGCACCAACCGATAGAAATTTGTAGAAAATGAATTGGTTTATATCTTATTCGTTTGTGGTTTGATAGACGGATTTAAGTGTAGTGAATTATGTATTGCTCGACACAAATCAGTAAAAAACCGAACGCGTGTTTACATCTCACAACATCAACAGAACAAATTGATTATTTAGAGAATAAAGCCAATTTACCGTTTCATATGATCACAGTGAGCCATTATCTTGAGACCAAAACCCATTGTCGCAAGGTCTCATTTAAGAGATACAGAACACCAAGGGTTTTAAGATGGACTATTACCAAGTTGGACAGTATTCTATTCACCAAAGTATACACAATCTTAGTGAGATCCAGACTTGAAAACTTGATTCCCTCTGGAAGCTTCTGTTTAAAAGGTGGATCCGATATCTTTGAGAAAGGACGCATCTTACCACGCAGATCCAGGTCTCTAGCTTTTGCCGTGCACTGAGTGGCTTAAGAAGCAAGACCACTCTACTATGGCTCACCATAGATTAAGAGATGATTTGATTCCGATGCATAGAATAATAAGAAATGATTTTTGACCTGATATACTCTCTCTTTTTCTTCTTAATAGATAAAAAAATCAGAGGATATAGCAGAAGAGTAAAAAAACCAACAACTTACGAAGTACCTGTGGCATACAAGTTTTCACACCGGGTCGTCAATTCTTAAAGACTGTTGCCCAAAGGAATAGTGTCAAAAAGTTTAATCGACTAATTCTACAAAAGACTAGTGACTAGAAAGGGACTTCTGCCTTCAGTACACAATCCTGACATCAATACAGAAATTTTAAACGGTTTAAAAGCTACTTACAAACACGAGCACTTGTACCAAGGTATTTTGTTGTCCGACAGAGGAGTTGACAGTGAAGAACTTAATGAGCAAATCTTTAAAATACTTCAGATATTTCCGGAGTCTTTTCTGCACGTGAAGACTGTGTTTCCCTGAGCATTCAATCACCCCAGACAGAAAGTATTCACAACAGAAAGACAACAGTGAATGCAGGTAAAACACTTTACAAGCCATAATAATGGAAAAAAAAACATAATAAATATTATGCACATGTTGGACATTGTCATGTGGTCTCAGTCATCTTCCACAAATAACCAAGGATATCTACCTTCCTGATACTATATTGGAATATCCAAATCCTTCCAAATATACGTAATACGTTTTCACCTTGCTGACAGACAACCACGACGCGCACCAAAGATACTAGCCAAAGCGAAGCATAAGACTTCATCGAAAATAATCACATCCACTCCCGCCAGAATGCCAATTTCATCATACATGGGCTCAGCCAAACACACAAATATGAGAGCAACAACCTGAATTTATACACCAGGAAAAGTAAGGAGGAGTGGTTGAGTGCTATGGAAGGGAACTGGTATAAGCACGGCCCCCAAAACACTGTAAATGGGGGACAAAGATGTTAAACAAAAAACCCTGATTACATCTAATTTTGGAGTGTTGGGGAAGGGCTTACTGGAAAGTAGAAAATCCATTGATTAAAAACATTGAGGCAAATCCTGTACAATGCTGGGAAGAAGTATGGATTCAGCCAAGCTATCCCACCTGTATAAGGGGCGGATAGTAGCAAAACGTCAAACATCTTCACTAAAGGTAACTATGGACTCAGCACATGTTAGACAAGAAAGTTTACTAACACCCTGAAGACCATCGGTTAAGAAATTCCCTCAAATCCGAGTTAGACACAACAAACCGCTGGCCGTGGGAGATGCCTCTAGAGGAACGGTAAGCGCTAAAAAACCGAGCACAATGGTGGTTCACGGAGCTAGCAAGCAAGTGGTAGTCAAGTTTGAACTCACGAACACGAAATGCAACGGTGGTGTTAGTTACCAGACAACTCTACAGTAACCAGAATGTCCGGGTTACCTCTTCCGTCATACTTCACGACCAGCAGGTCCCAGCGCCTGACAACTGCGAACTTCAGAAACCAAGATTATCTAACTGAGGCCCTTCAGTCTTGATACAGATCGAAAATTGACCCTCAAAGCCACATCATGAGATGTGAGTCGACCTCATTCTGTGAGGCTACAGTAGAAGAGCCCAGTCAAATACACATTGGCTCAGTTGACCTTGGCCAACAACCCACTGTACAAAATACAAGGACTATAATCTTGCTGGTGAAACACACACACACACACACAACCTCACTCACTCAAACTACAAGATATATTAATTCACAAATGACTACCACACTGATTCTGATTATTGCAGTTAGGTAGCTAGACTACCAGCCATTGGAGATTACAAATACCTGTAACCGCACTGAAATAACTAGAAGCGAGTTCAAAGAATTCGACTAGCTTAAATAAGCTCGTACCAAAGATATTTGATATTGGACTCTATTCTTTGCGATTAGGAAAATTTGCACGTAGAGTTTCACTTCCTCACAAGCTTTCAACTGTTTCTTCAAAGTGAGATTTTAGCATTTACACATCCATTTTAATGTAGGTTATTGTTAAGTTACCAAATATAATTAAATCAAATTTTTCACAAGCGGGATTTTTGGTATTTAAGAGTTGAGGGCGCCTATTCTGATCCTGATGAGCCGTCCTGATTCGGGTTATGGGCCTTGTTCTAGCGCTGCAGCATAGCTATTCAAACCAAAGTAGTAATCCAGATTTGGATTTTAAGGTTTTTAGAGGATGGGGTTTGTCTTGAGACTCCTCAGCTCTCGTCGGAATTTGTTGACTTACATCACTTACCAGCTGAGCTTGCTCTCAATATATTGTCGAGGCTCAATGCCACTGATCTATATCTAGCATCTTGTGTTTGGTATGATCTTGCTTACGATGAGGTGTTGTGGAAGAGGTATTTTCTACTCATAAGGTAATTTTCAGTTTGTGCAAAGCTTCGTGGCCATTTTGCTCGGCGTACAAGAATGGCGTACTTCAATCTGAGCTGTCATTCCGTCGATTGTACCTTAAGCTAGATGAAGCGCGTTTGACATTTAACGCAGACGCCTTTGAAGTAAGTTCGACTTACACAAGCATTTTTCAGGGTATGAGGTACATCTTCAGACATCGTCTTGTAGACGATAATACCGATGATCTTGTTAACTTTTTCCACTATGCTTCCGGATTAGATCCATTCCAGAAGCGTCGATATCTGGAAACGAGGTATGATTTACTTTCAGGATAACACAGGCTTAGGCCCAGGTTCTACGCGGACTGGTGAATTTAAAAGATTTCCGGAACTATTCATTACCAAATGCGTTAAGAGGTCTTTTACTGAACTGCCAGTACAATCATCAGAACCTAGCGCGTCAGCTTTCATTCACCTGTTGGTTGGTCTGTTTTCCGAAAGATTTACTCAATGCAATCCAGATCTTGGGGTCACACGTGGTATGTGTTAGAGTTTGTCGTTTATACTTTAAGATTAAAAGATTACGTTGTTTGTTAATTATTCATAAAAAATTGTGAATATCCCGTTTTTGACACAATAAATTTTTGTAAGGTAATTTCTAGAGAACATTAGCTTTTTGAATCAGTTGACGCGTATGACTTCGGCAATTATGAATCAAGCTTTTTCAGTACCGTTATCATATGCTTCGCAGATAGACTGTCAGGCTTTTTTAGTGAGTCAATGATGGTAAAATGACTTATAAAACAACTTTGACTTTCTAGGTATTGTTTATGAAGCGATTTTCGCACTAACCTCTAGTACATATCAAACATTATATTTAGATAAAACACGGAATATACGTTATTGTCAATTGATGACTTGGAAAATAGTCTAGAATTTTACTCATACAGTTCACATCCTGGTGTAGCTAGGTACCATAATAAGGAGATAACGTTGATAAGATGCAAAGTAGGGGATTTTGTTCAACAGAAATGACCGTATATACAGCAACCTCACCGCCCGCCTGAAAATAAAAATATCTTACTTGGTGATATATCTCAATGGGTAACTAATATTGTTAGAGAAGTTGAACGGAGCTGGCCATTCTACGATTTGGAACATGTACTTATCACTCATGGCAACCAAACGTAATTGCACCGAAGTAGTGAGTGAAAAAATCAACATGAAAATTAAAAGCTAAATTACTATCGACAGTAAAGAGTAGCTAAATAAGTAGGGAAAACAGTCAAAGCAGTGCAATGTACAAAATATGCAGAGAAATGACAATCATATCATTACACGTTCATCAGAATAAATGCTCGTATTTTGATACGTGTTACAACTACTGTCAACAACAAGGTTTCACAAACAGGGATGCATCTGATGTTTTACAATTATGGGAACCTATATTTTACATCCGTTTACGTTTTTGTTTACCACTATGATAATATTAAGGGATTATTTATCGTCACCGAAACTTCGAAGTAGTCTCAGTAAATTCAATCTGGGTAACCAAGATGTGTGATGCTTCCTACCACCAGAAATAACACTATGCTCGTATGTCTTTCTTAGTGGTCTTTATCTTCTAGTTATATAGAAATTCCCAGAAAGTTGTTTAGAGCTTGGCACTGGACATTTTATTCAGTATCTTATTACGGTATAGAGAATTCATCTATTAAATCTACTGCTTAACAGATGCTAGATAACTCGTAAGCATTATTTACAGTTCAGTCTGGTGTATAAGACAACTGAAAATACATTGATTAATACTGTCACTAGTATTTCAGTCAATCACTAGTATTTGGCTTTCAGATTTTAGTTTTCCAGGTATACAAAATTGTTAGTCTTATTTATGTATTTAAATACACATATGTTGGTATAACTGTCCACGGCGCGCAATGCTGGCTAATGTTGGGGATTGTTAGGAGCAAGTTAGGGGCGGCGAAACCAAAAAGTGGCATCAGTGCTTGAAGTCATTAACTTTTGGTCTGAGCCATGTTGGTAGATGCAGACTATTTGGTTGGGGTCCACGTGACTATCGTAACCAATGGTTAGAGACTGTGATATGGCTCAAGATCGATCACAATGGCGTCGGTGTATACACTCTATCTTCCTTTAAACTATGAGATCAAACTTGCTTTACGTCTTTCTTTCTACGAACTAATTCTTCCTTACTGTACTATATCCTTATATGCAATCTTCCCTTTATATATTACACCATTGACTTAATTGCTTCTATCAATCCGGTGTTCATCTTGCTGTGCTAATGAGGTGTGGCAACTTGGACCGATGCACATACATGCATAGTCTAATGTTGTAGCTGACTGACTGATAAATGGCTACCAAAATAAATATACATCACGCGAATGAATGTGATTGGGAAAAAACGGATGGAGGGCAAATATAGTGAAAAAAAATCAACGAGTGGAAATAAGTAAATGAGAGTAGGATTTAGTGGGAGAAACGGCGAATTTAAGAAATACAGCCATGAGGAATCTTTTCAATCAAAGAAGTTCCTTCTATTTTTATTGGGAAAATTTAAGAAAATTGGTGGCCGCCCACTAGCTTCTTTCTTGAGCTATGCTTGATAACATCTCAAGTCACTTAGTTGCACTATCACCCTCAACCCTACCAGGGACTATATGCCATACCTACAAACAGTAATTTCCAACTGGTTAAGTAGGAATAGCAAAGCTTGAGTATCATCACAAAACAAGACAATATCATCCACATATATTCAGAATAGAAGTCCCTCTACAGGCAACAGATCCACACCTTCACTGCCTAATTCCATATCTGTCTTCAGAATGTCATCATTGGCAAAATTGAAGCGGAATGTTGAGATTGCACAACTCTTCCTAACCCTCCCACTACTCGAGTGAAACAGTAGTGAAAAGTTGTTTTTTGTCTTCTGTCCTCATGTGTTTGTGTATGGATCCTTCAAGATGTTAGTAAGCTTGCCAGTTATACCCTTATTCAACAGACAATCCCAAACAACAGTTCTGTCCAACAAGTCGAAGCGAACGCAGTATCAACAAAGACAACGATTGTTGGCCTAGACGAAGTATGGCAGTTTCCTAACATTTAATGGAGGGTGAAGATATGGTCAGTACATTCTCAACCAAAACGAAAACTAACCTGCTCCTCATGAGCCGGTCTTTCGCGTATTTTAAACAACCTATGAAATGCAACGGAAGCCAATACTACGAAAGCGATTGAAATCAGACACTCCCGATAGTTGTTGCAAAGATCACATAAACGGTTTGGGGAAACAAGGATGACTGTCACTGTCTTTTAGTATGCTGAAACACTGATTCCCAAACCTTTCCAAACAACCCAATCGGTCCCCTGACCAGAAGTTCGCTACCACCTCGAAAAATGACCCTGGGTAAGTCATAACCCTGGTGATTTGAAGCGCCTCAGAAGTTGGGGTTCCTTTCGGATTTCCGGTTCGTCGTGTGGACCAGTCATCACCGGTCGTGGGTTGAGGGAACGTTTAATCGATGTAGCTGAGGTGGCAGACCATCTGAGTCGTCCTTCGAAGAACACTGTTCATCGTCAAAGTCGTCTTTGGATGCTGTTGATTGGTCTCCCATCAGCTTCACAGATTGTTTTACTCACACCAGACTCTCAACTGCCAGCGGCTCGGATGAGTTGAAAGCGCTTCCAGCAGTTATTAAATGTGGCTGCTGGTTCTAAATAGTTAGAACATTCGATCCTTACGTAAGCTCTTCACAATCGTTTTACGTAAGAATCTACGTTTATGGTCAAACTCTCGGTTAGCTGGAGTAGACTAGCATGCCTCAATTAGTTGTGGGAAGCCTGGAGAAACCCAGTGTTTATAAGTAGGAGGTTACGAGGAATCGCAAGCGACTTTACTTTCCATTTTCGTGGCACCATGCAAATGCAGCCAATGTACATCTGTATTTCTAGGTTTGTTGATAGCTAGCATTGAACCTAGTTTGATCTGATATTTAGTTGCAGCAGAAGCTGAAACCAATCTGCTCAAGTTAATCTGTTTGAAACACAAATTTGTTGATTACTAAAACATAAGATAGAACTGGGGCATATGAGTGTATGATCAGAGTTCAAATAAGTAATCCAAAGGAAACAATAGTCTTGCACATGGGCACGCCAGCGGTAACTGATTGCGATACGATTAATCTGAGTCCAGACTTGAGTTGCAGACAAAGGTCTCCAGGTAGCATTTCGATGACGACGGTGCCGAAATTTGGTGTTTTCCAGAAACATGGTGTTACTGGTCATCATTGACATGGACCCTGGGACAAATGTACATCAATTTATGTTACTATGCCAAATTAGTACGATAAGTGAAAGTTAAGAAGATAAACAACAAATGCGCCGAGATGAATTGAATAGTTCTGGCAATGGAAAAGATTAAGATTCGCGAAAAAATGGAGTACTATTAGAACTCAAAATCTTGAGAAAAATAAGTAGTGAGTTAATCTGTACTCTTGTCACCAATTCTGATTCTCATTATCCACCAAGTGATGTTAGTTACCTCGAGGATTTCAACTAGGTAGTTTCTGCATTTTCCACCATGGTTAAACTCAGCGGTTACTGGTTTTATCGACTGACTACATGATAATCTGGTTGACGTGGAATACAGAAAAATATGGGGATGATTGGAACCTCTTACTTAATTCCTAAGGGTAATTTGACAAAACAAATGATCTATATCTAATCACAGTTTGACAATAAGGTTTGAGGATATTGGCTAGTTTACGTATGTCCGAGTTTCAGTGTTTTTGTTTGCTTTGTGGTCAACGAAATGTCGGTAACATATCGCTTCCGTTAAAATTTTTGCCGTAGAGAAAGTGACCACATACATCACAAAAATATAGCATCAACATTATCTATGTTTCAATTCCCTTTCTCCCTGCTAACAGAAAGTACCGTAATTATACTGCAGTTTAGGATCAATTATTCTTTAATCGTCACCCGGATGTATTGTAACCAAGGTAGTGTTATAAAGTCAGTAAGTTAATCCGTTTCATAAATCAGGATTAATTGAGGTACTTCTTATGTGTTTAAGATTTAGAGTAGAAACTTAATTGTTTAGTGTAGGAGGAAATACGCGTTGGTAATACCACTGCAATGTGACTTTTTGTCCGTGATTAATATAAGTTGGGAAACATTTGTTGGCTGTCGTCGCCTTTATGTTTTTGTGTAGAAAGATTGTTCCATTTTACTTGGTAATGTTTTACAAATGGTTCCTTTGCAAGCACATTAATAGTGCTTGTAACTTAGACTAAGTGGTGTGACAACTTAGAAAAATGCACATTCATTATTGGACTTGTGTTAATCCTTTATGTATTGAGGTTGCCCTCGTGACTCTCTAAACTAAAAGGCTATTCAGGATCCAATATTTCTATCAAAATGTTACGTTTCCAAAATTATGTTAATATTGATACCTACATTCTCTTAAGATACTTCGCACTTATATTGTTCCTTAGTAAATATAGTTTCAGCTCAGAATAACCATTAACAGATTGTGAATCTTAGCAATGGCTCTTTAGTTAGTGAACTTAATTTTCAATCAATAGATTGTATGCTCGAATCCTTCCGTATCTAATTCGATTTAGGGAACCAAATATTATGGCTAGCTCTCATAAACAGTCTTGCTCAGAGCGGATTACATAAGCCTATATTTAGCAAATGAGTTAGACTAATTAAGTAGGACCACATGGCAATACTTTTGTGTAGTTTTATTAAAATGTTAGTAAGTTGCATAACGTAAATAACTGTAATCACTCCTGTTCACGCTATGGTTAAGATTTACGGCGCTTTTCTACTTCAAATTTATTAATGATACATCTAGCAACTTGAAGGTAGTCGTAGCTAGATCTGTAACTGTTAACATTATGGAGCAAATATTATTTTATGAAAATACTTCTGAGGTTATTTAATAAATCATAAATGGTTTGATCATTTTAGATGAGATCTATTTACTGTGCTTTTCAATGATCATGTTATCCGTTGATCTCTGGAGCCCATCCATCAAAATAAAATGTCTAAACGTGAATTTATTCGCAATACAAGACAAGTGGCAACCACAACGTCGGATGAGTTTTTGGGAAACTTATATGATAATGTGTATATTGTTGGGCATGTCGTACTGATCGATTGTTCTGGACCTCCCTTCCGTCATTCTGAAGTTAAAGCAATCCTTGTGAGAAATCAACCTCTGTCATTACCTGCTTTTTAAATAAATTAACCAGTAGTTATTTCATCCACTGTGATTTATTTTCATTATTTCATGCTATTTTTTGTACTTTACATTATAACGTTAAACATTCACACAATTATTCAGTTCAAATTAGTTAGTGTTGTGTTCTATTTTGACTTGTCAGTTAGTTATTTGTTGGTTAACTAATAAACAACTAGTTTCATATCACGGCTATTACAGCAAATAGTTGTCAATTTTTCTTTTCATAGTTATTTGTAAACCAAACAAAACAGACATCAATAAACTAGTCATATACACTGTAATCTAGCTGAAACACAACTTCATATAAGAGAAGTTAAAAGGCATTGTTAATTGAGTGATATATTATATACGATCTCATGGATTTACTTAATCTTAGTAAAGAATTTTATTTCAAAGTAATACAAATCAACATTTTCCCTATCATTCTATGAAAATTCGAATCTTGTTCCTTTACATTACTTTTGGAATATACATATTCTATTTATGAGATAGTTCGTTTTTACATTTTCTAATAAGTGAATTTATGTGCATCTTTCCAAGATATATTTAATCGACCACTACTAGATTAGTAAACTTACTAGAAATTCTGATGTACCACTGGTTCATGTAAATGATGGTAAGACGTATAACTTACCTAGTTACTTTATTACCACGTAGTGCCTTCAATGTCCAAGTTGGATCTTGATTAGCTCTTTTATGATCTGAATACTTAGAATTTATGTTAACAGAATTTACTGTGCAATATGTATCTAAGAACAATGTCTTAAAGTAAACTGGTGTCCTTGTAACCCATCATCTGTCTTTAAGTAGCTCTATGAAATTGGTAGTCATTTTCATCGTATCACTAGTGAAGTTATTTGTCTTTTGTAGTGTAGATATCAATAACAAGGTTGGATTTGTTACTTCCGAATAAATTAGGCATTAGGTATCTAGTATTTCTTACAAAAGACTTAACAGTGGCTGTTAACACGGTTTAATTACTAAGTACAAGTTATTGTACTCGGATTTGAATCATACTTATTATAACAGTCACTGATATTGAGCGGCTTCCAAACCAAAGTCAGTTGAACATAAGCAACACAGAAATTGAAGTATATCTGCCTCAGTTCAAGTCACTACGCTGCTACAGCACAACGAGATGAAATTATCATGATAAATACCAGAATATTAGGAGTTGTAGTATTACCAGTGATGGTAAAGAGGATTTTTTATAGAGAATATTAATATGGAAGAAAGGATTTATTCGAAGAATAAACCTTAAAAAATTGTTCTAAAACTAGATCATAGAGAAGACAAAGAATGAATTCATATGTGCCATCGCAATCGATTATAAAACATGTTACCCATGGTTTGTAATTCCCAATCGCGGTTATCGCCCCGACCTAACCTAGTAATCTATGCTTACCATCAGCTCAGACCGACAAACAATGACTTCATGGACTAATTCCACGTTTTAGTTTGTGGGCATCTAAATTCCTTTCGTTCTATTGCAGCAAACATTGCTCATCAGAATTTATGTGCGAATAATTTGTATCAACATTAATTATTGTTTAGTCTGTCCATATATCAGATTATCTCTTAGATTCTAACTGGTTTTTTCGAATAAATGTCTTGGGTCCAACCACTATTTATTTACTATTCGCTAAACTGACATCCTGCTCTGTAAAAAGATGTTTGGGTAACTACTTAGTACGTTGCCTTCACACAATAAAGTAAACAACATTGCTCCAAATTCGCTTTTCTCGTTTATATTAAAGACCTTTATATTACAAAAAAGCTGTCCGTGTCACGTGTTCTTTTTTTCTGTTATAGTTGATTTTTTTATAGAAAAAGGAAATTCGGATTATTTTGAGTCACAACAAAGATAAACTAGTATTTTTGAACACCTAATATAGATAGGTTTTTATTATGCAAACTGATAAATTATCCATCACTAAGATTAGTTAGTATTGACATTACAATTTATAGATCGGTCGCCGTTACTTATATCTATCCTTATCAGTGTAAGATTATCTTTTCCAGTTGTTCATTAGTTTATTTTTCCTAACCGTCACGGGATGATTATAGTATTGGGTTAGGCTTGTTTCATTTGATTAATCTCTACGATCATTGGTGCTTTATTAATAGTGCACTGTATTTAAAAAAATTTGTTTTAAAATCAAATACATAGTCCATCGATCTAATAAACAGAAATAGTATTCATCAATAAGCCATTCAATGTTCAAACATACACGAAATGAAACTTAATGTAGTCGATATGATTTAGCAACCCTTAATTGCTTAAAAAATGTTCAAGTATGTATGAAATGAGGCTCTACAGGTTTATACATGTTTACTGTTTGAATTCATCCTACTTCAACTTATTGATTGTCCAGTATTGTATTGCCAAACAATCAGTAGATCGGTTAAAACATGGTCTAATTTACTATGGTAAAATTTCCTAATCGATATATGAACATGAATTGAGAAAGTAACACATTCGATCAATGAAAACCTTGAGTCAGTGATCCTGGCTATCTGAAAAAATGTAAGACATCATGATGATTTCGCCGTAGTATATGTAAGGACTCTGTTGATAAGTTTGGAAATAACAGTTTCTATTCGCTCCCCAATATTACCCAAAGTTCGGACATTGGTACTATTATTTAAATTCTTTCTTCCTGACAGTTCCCAGCTCTCTTAAATGTATCACAACTGATGCAAAGTGGTGATTAGAAGTTGGTAGAATGAATCCTCAATTTTTTTGAGTATTTTTAAATATAAAGCGCCTTGTTTTGCTAGAATCATCGTCTTCCTAAAAATTTTATAAATGAAGACGTACTTTCAGATAAGTAAAATTGATGACCTTATTTTCTACTCATTAGTTAGTGGGTCATATGAACAAAGTTTTTTTCTTATTGAACATCGATAAGCTCAATTTACTAATCATATGCAATGTTGGTGTGATAATAAAGTTACCTGAATTAATGTTTGCTCTTTTTCACATTTACTACCTGGCTTTTTGCCTGCTACCGTCAAGATATACTCCAGCGATGTAGATATTCGGTTTTCTTTCATTGAGTCATTGGTTCAGAGAGATGTTACGTGCTACAGTCAAAGGTATTTTTGAGCTCAACATTATGAATATATTTCTATTCCATGAAAAAAGCTGGGTAGTATGATTATGCATTTTTCTAACAAACTGTCAAAGTGTATGCTTTTGTTAAAAAGTAAAATAGCTGTTTTTATTATCGTGGCAGCATGATTTCTCGCTCGTATTAAATACCTTTACAAGCAACGTGAAGTCTCGTGATTTATTTCATGTGGTTACAATGTGTTATGGTAAGAGAATAACTTTAAGGAATGCTTCTTCGAGTCAGCTGAATTCCAAGTCTACATTAAAAGCCAATATTAAACTCATAGATTAACATGCATGCATAATGAGTTACAATGAATATATTGTAAAGGCAAACAAGTTCGTGCATGAGAATTACACCAGACTAATCTTGAAATAATTCGGCTTCTTTTACCTTGTCTAACTATCATTACCTACAGTCGTCTCATTTTTCATCGAGATAAGATACGTGTCCGTAAATTTTTACCTCGTTTGTTTCACAAAGTGTGTGCGGTCCCGAGCACTGTTGGCTGTTTTTTCGTTCGTTTAATAGGTGAGTGCATAATTATTACTGGGTATTTCATTCCAAGCTCTCACTTTCACCATATTCTTTTCATTGGACAAGTTGTTTTCGCTACAGTAATGTATCCGTAGAATTCATATATGGATAGCTTCAAGTAATTGAAATGAAGTCAGCGGAAATCATGTGCTTATACGCAGCACTCACTAAATTAATAGGGAAACGCATTTTCATTGAATATTGAGACATGAACAGATAACCTGACAAGTTTTTTCTCTCGTTTCGATTGTTCACCTATGCATATTAATTTGAAACGGTATGTTATGAATTTGCAATTGTATTCAGTTAGTTAATAATAAATAAAATTTATTTATTAATTAACTTCAATATGTTTCTACTCTACTTACAAATCGTTCTTAGGATAAGGCTTTACCACAGTTTTGCTTTCAGTTAAACGTGAATGATTAATGTTTATCTGAGGAACCTATGGCATCTGGTTTTGCTAGTGTTGATGTCGGACTAGGCGCTAAAGCTGAGGCAGCACTATCGATTGGATCCTCATTAACAGTCAGTTATGTGTTATTAGATTAGAAAGCTCAATCAAAATGAGAAATCGGTGTGACAAACGACATCTCTTCCTACGGTCCGAGATTTCAGCACAGATGGGTTTTATTACTGTAGTGAACAAGAACACGAGTGGGGACAACCGAATATAGTTGAGCACGAAATTACAGAATATCTCACTAAAATCTGAGAACCACAGAGTAAATAATTTGCAAAATACCAATCCATCGTCTCAGCTTCCACACAAATTGCCTTCCGTTTCCGTTCATTCCTTCTCGATCTTCTGAAATACATTCAATTCCTGACTATCGCTACATAGTACTTACGTGAATATAAGTAGCTCACACCACACTACCAGCTAAGTGTTCTTCTACAGAAAATGCATTGGACGGATATCGCAGTACTAGTTGGAGACATGAAAGCACTGTTTGGGGGTCATTTGTGTGACTAATGGGGATTTGTTGATCACAGGTCGGATAACGGTGACCGTCTACTGTAACATTGCGCAGGCTACAGCCCGCTTTTCACTAGCACTAACTATTGGCACAGACTACCTGGAGACCTCTATATACAGCTCAAGTCTGAACTAAGATTAATCGTATCGCAATCAGCTACCGTTGACGTGACTATGTACAAGACTCATACGCCCCAGTTCTATCTAATGTTTCAGTAGTCAACAAATTTGTGATTCAAGCAGATTGGTTCCAGCTTCTGTTGCAATTAAATACCAGAC